GGTGTGGCCGGGGACGGGTCGCTGTCCCTGTGGCTCTGCACGAGTGGGTGGCCGGGGACGGGTCCCTGTCCCTGTGGCTCTGCCCGAGTGGGTGGCCGGGGACGGGTCGCTGTCCCTGTGGCTCTGCCCGAGTGGGTGGCCGGGGACGGGTCGCTGTCCCTGTGGCTCTGCCCGAGTGGGTGGCCGGGGACGGGTCCCTGTCCCTGTGGCTCTGCCCGAGTGGGTGGCCGGGGACGGGTCCCTGTCCCTGTGGCTCTGCCCGAGTGGTGGCCGGGGACGGGTCCCTGTCCCTGTGGCTCTGCCCGAGTGGGTGGCCGGGGACGGGTCCCTGTCCCTGTGGCTCTGCCCGAGTGAGTGGCCAGGGCCGGTCCCTGTCCCTGTCGCTCTGCCTGAGTGAGTGGCCAGGGCCGGTCCCTGTCCCTGTGGCTCTGCCCGAGTGGGTGGCCGGGGACGGGTCGCTGTCCCTGTGGCTCTGCCCGAGTGGCCGGGGCTGTTTTTGAAGTGTCCCTGCCTTTTGTTTTTCACCTTTTGGTGCCGAGAAAGCCAAGTTTTCTGGTTTGAGCTTCATTCTGCCTCCTTCGTGGTGAGCTTTTTAAGAAAATGAAACAAGGGGAAAAAGCCGAAACATTCCTGGCCCCGCCCTGGAGCTGGTGGTTCGGAGGGGCCGGAGCCGGGCCGGTGTGTCCTGTTGAAAGGTCTCCGTGTGGTTGTCAAAGCCACCATCCAGCCCAGCGTTGCACTGGAGGAGCCATCTTCCCTGTCCTTGGGCGAGCTGGGGGTTCCCGAAAGACCCCACCCTTGTAGAGATGATGTTTTCGGGGGCAGATGGTTGGAACAGCAGTCAAGCCACTGTGTGGGCCACCTGCATCCCGTATAGGACCCGTGTGGGATGCCCGCATCCATATAGGACCCATGTGGGACGCTCATATCCCATATACAACCTGTGAGGGACACACGCATCCCGTATACGACCTGTGAGGGACGCCCGCATCCCGTATAGGACCCGTGTGGGACGCCCACATCCCGTATAGAACCCGTGTGGGATACCCGCATCCCATATAGGACCTGTGTGGGACGCCCGCATCCCGTATAGAACCCGTGTGGGACGCCCGCATCCCGTATAGGACCCGTGTGGGACGCCCGCATCCCGTATAGGACCCGTGTGGGACGCCCGCATCCCGTATAGGACCCGTGAGGGACGCCCACATCCCGTATAGGACCCGTGTGGGACGCCCGCATCCCATATAGGACCCGTGTGGGACGCCCGCATCCCGTATAGGACCCGTGTGGGACGCCCGCATCCCGTATAGGACCCGTGTGGGACGCCCGCATCCCGTATAGGACCCGTGTGGGACGCCCGCATCCCGTATAGGACCCGTGTGGGACGCCCGCATCCCGTATAGGACCCGTGTGGGACGCCCGCATCCCGTATAGGACCCGTGTGGGACGCCTGGATGGCGTTCCGGGCTCCTGCCTCTGGGCCTGGCCCAACCCTGACCGTGGTGAGCATCAGGGCGCTGAACCAGCAGATGGACGGTCTCTGTCTTTCAGATAAATCCAAGATAAATAAAAAACAATTTAGCATTAATGGGAGAACGGGATTAGGTGAATCTTTATAAAACGATGTTTTCCACAGCGCACCTGCCTGCTCCATGTTAGACTCTCCCCACACGGGCAGAGCTGATCTGCCTGTGGCGCTTCTGGAGAGACGTCCTGGGGCCGCACTCACCGGCCTCCTTGGCCGGGGGCTCCTGCTGGTGTTTATGGAGTGAATTATTCATCAGCGCTCCTGCCCCCCCGGCCCCCCTCCCCCCGCGCTACCACCACAGGTCCCTGCGGTCCCGGGGGGCCAGAGGGAGCCCTGGCTTCACCAGGCTCTGTCCAAGCCAGGCTCCCTTCAACTCCACGTGAAATGAAAATGATTTTTATGACGGCTAATGAACTGCTTTCACGTAACCGTTTTGAAAGAATTTTTATGTGGGATGTGGATTTGTAAATAACAGTTAACAGAAGAATGTTTACCATGTAAAACCATGTGATAGTGTGTCCCACGGGGCACCGAGGCTTCTCTGGGGCCCCTGTCCCGGGCGTGCTGCTCTCTTGGGCTTGGAGTGAATCTCGATTCTGTGTCCACTAGCGTGTGGCCCCCTTTCGTTCCTCACCTGGACTGTTCTGGTCTTTATTACTTCTGCCTTTTCTTTCCTTTTTTTTTTTTTCTTTTTGACAAGCAGAGTGGACAGTGAGAGAGACAGAGAAAAAGGTCTTCCTTTGCCGTTGGTTCACCCTCCAATGGCCACCGCAGCTGGCGCATCACGCTTATCCGAAGGCAGGAGCCAGGTGCTTCTCCTGGTCTCCCATGGGGTGCAGGGCCCAAGCACTTGGGCCATCCTCCACTGCACTCCCTGGCCACAGCAGAGAGCTGGCCTGGAAGAGGGGCAACCGGGACAGAATCCGGCACCCCAACCGGGACTAGAACCTGGTGTGCCAGCGCCGCAAGGCGGAGGATTAGCCTGTTGAGGCACCGGCCTTTCTTTTTTTTTTTTTTTTTTTTTTTTTTTTTTTTTTTTTTTTTTTTTTGAGGTTTATTAATTTGAAAGGCAGAGAGAGAAAGAAAGATCTACCATCTGTAGGTTCAGTCTCCAAATGGCCCTAATGCGTGGGGTTGGGCCAGGCGGAAGTCAGGAACCTAGAACTCCATCTGAGTCTTCCACTTAGGTGCAGGGGCCCAAGCATGTGGGCGTCTCCCACGGCGTTCCCAGGCATTTATCAGGGAGCTGGAGTGAAAGTGGAACAGCCAGGACTCAAATTGCAGGCAGCAGCTTAACCCGTTGTGTCACAACGCCTGCCCGTACATCTGCCTCTTTTTTAAAAAATTTATTTATTTGAGGCAGAGATATAGACAGAGAGGGAGAGAGAGAGAGAGAGAGAGAGAGAGAGAGGTCTTCTGTCTGCTGGTCACTCCACAAATGGCCGCAACAGCTGGAGCTGGGCCCATCTGAAGCCAGGAGCTTTCTGGTCTCCCATGCGGGTGCAGGGGCCCAAGCACTCGGGCCATCTTCCTCTGCCTTCCCAGGCCCCAGCCGGGAGCGAGGTTGGGAGAGGAGCCGCAGGGACTTGAATCGGTGCCTGACTGGGCTGCTGGTGCCGCAGGTGGAGGCTTGGCCTACCGCGCCGTGGTGCTGCCCCTCCATCCGCCTCCCGGGACTGGTTGTGATAGAGCAACTCAGAAGCACCAGGCTGTGCTTTGAACAGCAAAGATTTCTTCTTTTTGCTTTTTTTCCTTCCCGTTTAAGAAAGTCTTGCTTTCTTGTGTTCTTTTGTATCTGGGTTTCTCAGATAAACACAGCACCAGAAAAAAACGTACCATTGTTGATAGATTTCAGTGCACACTCACGTTTTCACAACCTTCAAAAAATCAGAGTGTCCAGTAATTTCTAGATGGTTCTGTGCTCACGTCTACCTTTCTGGCGTCATTGCAACAGTTGGAATATCTTGCACCGGATGGTGGACCGTCAGAGGGACAGTAGGAGTGATGTCCACACCGGCTCCAGCTTACGGATGAGGAGCGGGACGCATGGATTTGTCCAAGGTCGCGCTGTCCAGGCAGTAGCCTCTTGATTCCCACAGCAATGGCCATTGTTTTTTTAAGCTTCATTTATTTATTTGAAAGGCAGAGTTGCAGAAAGAGAGAGAAAGACCCAGAGAGAGGTCTTCCGTCCCCTGATTTACTTCCCAAATGACCACTACAGCTAGAGCTGGACCAGTCCGGAGCCAGGAGCTCCTTCCGGGTCTCCCACGTGGGTGCAGGGCCCAAGGACTTGGGCCACGTTCTGCTGCTTTCCCGGCACGTTAGTAGGGAGCTGGGTTTTAAGTGGAGCAGCCGGGACTTGAGCCGGCGCCCATGTACAGTGCGGGCTTTACCCTCCGTGCCACAACACTGGCCCCTGGAGTGTCCATCCGTCCATGCCCCTGGCTTTATCGCATCCTGTTTCTTTAAGATGTGCGTAGATTTCAGTTCATCTGTAAAAGGTTCCCGTTCAGCGTGGGAGACTTGCTGGCACACATTTTTCTAGATGAGTCTGGATTTCAGGGAAGTGGAAGAAAAATAAAAGTGAAACGAGAAATCATAAAGGTACCTGCCGAAAGAGGAACGGCAACAAGGAAGCGGAGACGGAGGTGCCAGCGGCGGGGGCCCCGCCGAGGATCAGTGGCCGGCACCGGGGGCCGGTGCCGGCCGGGGGGGCAGTGGAGGAGTTTCTCTTCTCAGGATCACTTCTTGCTTTCTGTGGGTCCTCTAGCGCGATGGACGTAGGCAGTAGCATTTGGGTTCTTAACCTGGAGGCAGGACTGGGAAGGGAACTGAGGGGGGCTGTGTGCTTGGCGTGTGCCTGTTAGGGGTGACAAGACCCCTGGGCAGAGGGGCACTGGCCTGGTGGTCTGGATGCCCGAGTTCGGGTTCCAGCTCTGGCCCCTGATCCCAGCTTCCTGCTCATGGGGATTCAGGAAGGCGGAGGTGATGGCTCAGGGGCTGGGGGCCTGCCCCCATGCGAGAGCCATGGTTGAGCTCCCAGCCACTGGGGGCCTAGGGGAAGTGAACCCAGCGCACGGGAGCCGATGCCGTCTCTCGCTGTCTCACCCGCTCGCCTGCTCTCTGTGTCTCCAGAACAGGTTTTTCTGGTTAAATGTCTCAGCACAGACATATCTGTGTCTCTGCCACGTGGAAGACTTGGTCCCGAGTGGCTCTCGTCAGCTCTGTGCAGGGACAGCCACTCAGCCTTGGAAAGACACCCTCGGTGCTGAGTTCTGACTGGGACTCTTGGATGGGGGCTGCCTGCCTGTCTGCACTCTTGGGTGTCGCCCAGCCGGGTCCTGCCGCGGCCGCCACGGCCGCTCCCAGCTGCTCTGCCTCTGGGCAGAGCCGTGCGAGTCTTTGGTAACGGCCGCTCAGCACACTTGTGGGTACAGGAAGGACGGGGGCACTGCATCTGGGGGCGCTGCGTGTTTTTGTTTTAGTGTAAACTCGAAGCACTCGCTTTGTCTTCCCTCCTGGTTTCCCCACCATCATCCTCTGTGAGTGACATACCTGCATTTCCATTCCAGGAATCTTTCCAAGAAATACCAACCGAAGAAGAACTCGAAGGAGGAGGACGAGTACAAGTGAGTGCGTCGTGCCTGACTGGCCGTGTGTAGACGCCCCGGCTGACTGGCTACTGGCCGTGTGTAGACGCCCCTGGCTGACTGGCTGACTGGCCGTGTGTAGACGCCCCCGGCCAGAGCTGCAAGAGTGACTGTGTCTCCGCTCACGTCTGGGCCAGCTTTTACATCGTGTTTTTAAGGGTTTATTTGAGGCCGGCGCCGCGGCTCACTAGGCTAATCCTCTGCCTTGCGGCACCGGCACACCGGGTTCTAGTCCCGGTCGGGGCGCCGGATTCTGTCCCAGATGCCCCTCTTCCAGGCCAGCTCTCTGCTGTGGCCCGGGAGTGCAGTGGAGGATGGCCCAAGTGCTTGGGCCCTGCACCCCATGGGAGACCAGGAGAAGCACCTGGCTCCTGCCATCGGATCAGCATGGTGCGCCGGCCACAGCGCGCTGGCCGCGGCGGCCATTGGAGGGTGAACCAACGGCAAAGGAAGACCTTTCTCTCTGTCTCTCTCTCTCTCACTGTCCGCTTTGCCTGTCAAAAAAAAAGGCGGCGGGGGGCAGGGGGGTATTTGAAAGGCAGATTGACCGGGGCTGGGGGGGACAGAGAGAGATGGACCTTCTATCTGCTCATTCACTCACCAAATGGCTGCCATGGTCAGGGCCGGGCCAGGCGGACCCAGGAGCCAGGAACTCCATCCGGGTCTCCCACGTGGGTGCAGGGGCCCAGGCGCCTTCCCAGGCACATGAGCAGGGAGCTGGATTGGAAGTGGAGCAGCCGGGACTGGAACCAGCGCTCCGACATGGGATGCTGGTGTCACAGGCGGCGCTTAGCCACACCGCCACAGTGCCGGCCTCTGGGTCAGTTTTTAAATCAGGGGAGAGAACGGTAGAAACGTCCTGGATGCCCTCGTCTTCTACCGAGCCCCTGGGCCTGTTCAGGTGGCTTCAGTTAAAGTAACTGGGATACGGGAACTCTGGTTATACCTCCATGAGTCTTGGTTTGGCTTTACGGCATCCGGAGGGCTGTCATGTTACCGGAGTGCCATCACCTAACGTTACCGCCCCTGTCGGCCAGCCACGAAGGCGTCTGGAAGTGGCCGGCTGAAGGAGGCGCGTGTGTGTGGGTGTGTGTGGGTGTGTGTGTGTGTGCGTGGCTTAGATCTGAGTTGTGCTCTCGCGTCCGCACGTTCGGCCTGGGTGTGTTTGGACCAGGTGGTAACGGGGCAGACACTGCCTCTTGCGGGAGGCGCGGTTCCAGAGGGAGGAGCCGGCTCCGCTGTAATCAAGGCTGAGCCCTGGGCGTGTGAGGAGTCCTCGGGACCCCGCGGGAGGTCCATGCCAATTAGCCTGGTTTCCGGGGCCACTCCCTGGGGCCGGGCCGTGCGTGAGGCGCGCCCGCCTGTGCTCTGCCCCGCAGGTACACGTCCTGCAAGGCCTTCCTCTCCACCCTGAACGAGATGAACGACTACGCGGGGCAGCACGAGCTCATCTCGGAGAACATGACGGCGCAGATCATGGTGGACCTGGCTCGCTACGTGCAGGAGCTAAAACAGGAGAGGAAATCGGTAACCCGGCTTCCGCGCATTGTACCCGGTGGGGGAGGGGCGCGGCTGACGGGGCATCCCTGGGAGCTTCCGTGGGGCCACGTGTGCCATGCCTGGGGGTCCTATGAAAACGGCAGGCCCTGCTCCCGGGCAGGCTCTCAGGGTCTCCAGGGCAGGTGCCAGGCCCCCTCACCACTCCGAGAACTTGTCTACAAACCCCGGAATGCGAATCCCGGTGAGGGGGTTGAGTCTGCTGTATTGGAAGGAAGCCGACATAAAGAGGCAGCAGTGCGGTGTGGTCTGGACGAGGTGGAACACGGGCGTGAGAGGTGCTGGGGAGGGGGTTAAGGAGGCGGACAGAGGGCCTGGCCATGCCCTCCCCCCACCCCGCCGTTGCCACCGCGGCCTCGTGTTGCTAACCGGAGGACAGCCTGGTCGAGATCCTGCCCTCGTTCACCGTTCGGCCGCTGTCTGATGCCTGTGATAACCGGGTCCTAGTAATAGAGAGGCAGAGTGGACCAGGTGTAGACTTCTGGATACGACTCTGGGGCCACAGAAACCCGGTGCCACGGAGGTACGTGAGCCAGCGACAGATGTGGCTCCTGCGGACACAGAGGACGCGCTCAATAGTGGCAGAGATCATGTGTCATCGCGGCTGTGACGGCCGAGCAAAGTCAGAGTACGGGGCCCCAGAGAGATCGCGGGGAACACGCAGTAACCATTTCATTCCATTTTCCACAACTTTCTTATTTATTTTTTTTAAATTTGCTTTAGCCATTTTCATTTTATTTTTTTAAAGATTTATTTTATTTATATGACAGACAGAGTTACAGAGAGCGAGAGAGAGAGAGAGAGAGGTCTTCCATCTGCTAGTTCACTCCCCAGATGGCCGCAACGGCCGAAGCTGCACCGATCCAAAGCCAGGAGCCAGGAGCCTCCTCCAGGTCTCCCACGCGGGTGCAGGGGCCCAAAGACTTGGACCATCTTCTACTGCTTTCCCAGGCCACAGCAGAGAGCTGGATCAGAAGAGGAGCAGCCGGGACTATAACTGGCGCCCATATGGGATGCCAGTGCTTCAGGCCAGGGCCTTAACCTGCTGCGCCACAGCACTGGCTCCTATTTTTTTTATTTTTTAAAGATTTATTTATTTGAAAAATATGGCTACAGACAGAGAGAGGGAAAAATAGAGAGCTCAATCTTCCATCCGCTGGTTCACTCCCCAAATGACCACAAAGGCCAGAGCTGGGCCAATCTGAAGCCAGGAGCCAGGAGCTTCTTCTGGGTCTCCCACATCGGTGTAGAGGCCAAAGCACTTGGGCCACCTTCCACTGCTTTCCCAGGCCACAGCAGGGAGCTGGATTGGAAGTGGAGCGGCAGGGACTTGAACTGGAGCCCATATGGGACACGAGCCTCTCCATGAAGATTTTGAAGACGTCTGCTTGTACAGGTGTCATTCATGCGAGCATTTATTTACTTATTTATAATAATTTTTAGTAATATTTAATTTATTTTGGAAGAGTTAGAGTGTGATTTTTTGTCTGCTGGTTCACTCCCCAGATGGCCACAATGGCCAGGGCTGGGCCAAGCCAAAGCCAGGAGCCAGGAGCTTCATCCAGGTCTCCCACGTGCAGGGGCCCAAGCACTTGGACCATCTTCTTCTGCTTTCCCAGGCCACAGCAGAGAGCTGGACTGGGAGAGGAGCAGCCGGGACTTGAACCTGCGCCCACATGGGATGCCGGCTTCACAGGCGGCAGCTCTACCTGCTCTGCCGCAGCGCCAGCCGCTCCATGAGAGCATTTAATGGAAAAATCTCACATGCTTGGGACTGGGGCCCAGGGACAAGCTTCCCAGGGGCCTTAACTTGAAGAATTTCACCCCGAGACTGGAGGGGTGGGGGGGCGGCCTGGGATGAGCACCCCAGAGCGCACAGCCGTGCAGAGGCCGGGGCGGCAGGGCCTTTAAGCATCTGAGTTCAGCGCGCGCTGAGCTACACACGTGCAGCGTAGGCCTTGCCGTGTGCTTGGGAAGAGCCGTGTGCCTTCAGGTCAACCCACCGATTGAAAAATCAGGCTGATGAAGGAGTTGTGGTGTCTGCATGAGAGCGAGGGCCCTGGACCAGGACGGCTGATCGGCCCCGGGAAGCTCGTCCCTGCACGGGCGGCCTTGGACGTGGCTGGAGCCAGGACTGCCGCCCGCTGAGCAGGGCACGGCTCAGCCCCACCCAGAGAATTCCAGGACCCAGGGCCGGGCGTCCGTGGCGCTGAGGGGGAGAGGCCCCGGCGTCTTCCGCGAGATATGAGGAGGGGAAGCAGGGAAGCAGAGCCCAGAGGCCTCAGGAAGATAAAACAAATACAGAGTCGGAGCCGGCCGACCTGCTCCCTGGACTTCCCCCGACCTCGCGAGGCCTCTGTCTTCTTCCTGTTTGTTACTTTATTCAGTGCCCCGGGTCTTGTCCCTGACCGCCCTCCACCCGGCGCCCACGGAGCCTGGGTCTTAGAAGCAAACAGGAGCTCTGTGTCTGGCGCGAGTCTTAGGTGGGAAGCCCGCAGGGGCCGGCCTCCCCGCCGCGCACCTGCCCGAGGACCCGTGCACCTGCTCTCCTCGGGCACTTGGGTTCTTCCCTGCCCATCTTGTTTAAAGACCCTCTCCCTGCCCCTTAGCCCTCCTCCCCTCCACGCGCACCGTCTCCGGCTTCCCGCTCTCTGCCCGGGACTTCCTGGCGTCTCACGTTTTCTGTGCCAGCTTGTCGGTTTCCCCATCTCACGCTAGAATGTGAGCTCCAGGGGTTTCCTTAACCCACCGTGCTGTACCCCACGCGCCTGCCGGGGCCAGAGCAGGTCCGTGGGGCCGGAGGAGGCCGGCTTCTCCTGCTGTTTCCCCGGTGAGGGGCCTCGTGCGCCTTGGCCGTGGGGGACCGGGTTGTTGTTTTATTTACTCATTGGTAATCATAGGTCTTTTTTATGGGCAGTCGTGTCTGTGTTTGAATTCTTTTCCCTTTTTTTATCAGAAATTATAGTACTTTTATGGAGTAAATTATAGGTGGCTGAGACACACATTAAATAATATCTTAGAAGACCGCGTTCCTTTTATCTGCAGATTTACAAGCAGAGACCTGAGTCAGACGTTCTCTTGGGTGGAGCTGCTGGCCTGAAGCTTCCTTGAAGCCCCTTCCCTGCTTGCTCAGAGGAAGGCGACACGTCAGGGCCCCGGGAGGCCATCGGGGGCACACATGGGACACGTGGGCAGCAGGTGCGGGCGGGAGGACCGAGCCCTGGCCGGGAGCAGGCTCCTGTCGTCAGCCACTGCGCCATGCTAGCGCGGTGTCATTTACAAATTATTCGGATACCGTTGGTTCTTTCATTATTTAGATCCTGAAAGCCGACATCCACTGCACGTCACCGTTGCCCTCGCCATGTCCCGTGGGGATGAAGATGGCCATGTTAGGCCTCTCTCCCCAGATACGGAGCCTGCAGCGCGGGAAGGGGGCGGGGGCCGGGGGCCCTTCCCCGACAGCGCGGGCCCGTGTGCGCCTTCTTTATATCATCGAGTGTTTCCATTAACACACAGGGACGCTGGATTTCATGGTGGGAACATCTCCCTCTGCAGTTAGTTTTGGAAAAGGAGCTATTTGGGGTCTCCTGGTAACCAGTGTTTCCCTTTGGAGTTTGAGTTTTGGCCACTTGGCTTTTCCTGGTTAAACACTCTAATTTTTATAATGATGACTTTTTTCTTTGAAGTTTCAGAGACAGAGACAGACAGACAGACAGCGCCATCAGCTGCTTCACTCCTCAAATACCCACAATAGCGAGGGCTGGGCCTGGGTGGAGCCAGGAGCTGGGAACTCCCACATGGGTGGCAGGGACCCAGTTCCTCCAGCCGTCACCTGCTGCACCTGGAGTGGGCGTGAGCAGGACGCTGAGGTTGGGGTGGAGCCAGGACTGGGACGCGGGTTCTTCACCAAGGCCAAGGGTGACTTCCAGCGCAGCTGTGGACTCTTAGCGTTTCGTCCTCAGCAGAGGGACACGGAGCGACTAGAACGGGGGGGCTAATCCAGCACCTTTCACTGTGCCCCTGTGACCGGCGGGCCATGTGCTTCCACCTTGACCTGGGTCGGTGGTGGGACCAGGAGCTGGGGCTGCCAGCAGGTGGGGGTGCAAGGGGAGGACAGGCACAGGCTCTGCAGCCTGCAGCCCCCCCCAGAGCCCCACCTGCCCTGTGCAGCCCCCCCAAGCCCCACCTGCCCTGTGCAGCCCCCCCAGAGCCCCACCTGCCCCGTGCAGCCCCCCCAGAGCCCCACCTGCCCCGTGCAGCCCCCCCAGAGCCCCACCTGCCCCGTGCAGCCTCCCCAGAGCCCCACCTGCCCTGTGCAGCTCCCTGACCGGTGGCCGTGTCTCTGGCCCACCGTACCTTCTCGCTGGAAGTGGTGGAGCCCTGCCCGGGCCCCGGGGTGAATGCAGGCCGAGTGCCCGGCACGGGGACGTTGTCTGGGGCCGGGGTTGCTGGGGTTCGGGGGTGAGCAGGAGCGAGTGGGGAAGGAGAGCGAGCAGCGGAGTGAGCTCCCGACAGGGTCGTGGTTGCCTGGTTCTTTCCTGGTTTTCAGATTCACAGAGACTATTGTAATTGTTTTGTTTTTCAGGTGAGCACAAAAAATAGAATTCTTAACATTTTAAAATTTACTCTCCTTTTGGGGTCAGGGGGAGCCAGGATGCATTTACAGGCTCCCAAAATTTTAAGAGAATGTTAGTGATGAATGAAAGAATGAAACCCACGGTCTGCCGTGGATGGAAACCCACGTTTTCCGAGTTTGCTTCCCAGTGTCATTTACAGATAAGTTTATGTTAATATAGTATTCAAAAGTACTAGTACCAGTATACATATAATTTATATCCTTTTTTAAAAAAATTTATTTATTTGAAAGAGTTACAGAGGGGGCAGGGAAGACAGAGAGAGAGAGAGACAGACAGGTCTTCTATCCACTGGTTCACTCCCCAGATGGCCACAACAGCCAGGCTGAGCCTAGT